GGTGGATATTTACCTCGCGGCTTCGCGGCTCGGTAAATATCCACCACAAACCACCGACACTGAGGTGAATAGTTGGTAAATATTCTCATCACTTGTCTGCTTGAGATTGTATTGATACTGTATGGAGAAATTTTTTTTAACTGCCTCTTGGTTACCTCAATTGGTTAGAGCGCTGGATTGTGTTGTACTGCAGGAGGTTGAGGGTTCAAGCCCCGGTTGGACCAATACTTGTGGTCTTAAAATAACTGAGGAGAATTTGCTACCTTTCTATAACATCAAGGAATGGATAGATATTCTGGTCTTTTTTGATAAGGATGAATAAAACCGTAGGTCCCATCTCTAGCAGGGTTAGGGGTAGGAGACGTTAATTTCCCCCGCACGAGATTACTGTGTGGTAGATGTCCCCCCAGGGTGGGATGGTGGGTACACACATACACGTTTTATTGAGCACTCAGGAGCTCCTTGGTGTTACGTGTAGAAATAAAGTATTATTATTATTATTATCATTATTATTATCATTATTATTATTATTATTATTATTATTAGTCACTCATGGGGTATGAACAATTCTGGTAAAAAGATATATAAAGTCTTTTCTCAAGCTAAGTGGCCCATCCAAACATTAAAGCTTAAGCCAGTTTAAGTAACATAAAGCAAGGCCTCCCCTCCTGGATGTAGGATGCTGGCCTATCAATAGTTTTCCCAGTCCATCCCACAATTCAGCACTCAATACTGTTGGGTGTAGAGAGGCATTGTGAGACTGAATAGCTTTGCCCCAAAACATAACACAGTGACCTGGCCTCATCTTATATTACTGCACCTCTTTACCCACAGGCCAGCTTCCCCCCAGGATTCAGTTTTCAATTTTCATCAAAAACACTAGTGGTTTTTCTAATTTGGTATTTGATCTGCTTTTCTGTTTTTCCTTATTGGGTTCCAGTTTCTCTCCAGTCTGAGGAGCATTAAGGCTTAATTCAGCCAAGTCCATGGCCTCCATAAATACTGTGATAGAATTTTTGTAATTTATTCTGCATAGTCCACTTGCAACCACTGATGCATTGCATCAATTAGGGTTTTGATAACTTAGGGAAGTAAGAATTCATCAGTTTTGACAGTTCTGCATGTGGTTTGGCTTTGATCAAATTTTGTTTGGGGTGTTGATGATCAATACTCATCCCACTTCTTAACTGACTGATTACAATCATTATGTCGCCCCTAACCTATGCTGAGTTGATTTCTCTCTTAATCATAATTTAGTGTATGAGAATAACATGCAAGAAGATTTACAAAAGGAAATACCTCCAAACCATTTCATTCCACCAAAAGGGGCGCATTAAAGTTACAAGAAATAATTTTGTGGATGCCACAAGAGGAAATTTGAGCCCCTATGTTCCATGCAACTGATGAATAAACTACTGATCTTTTTATTGTCTTTTTTGAGTAAGCGAAAAACAAATATTTAACTCTTTGCATTACCTTCTTGAAGGTTTGGAGACAATTTAGGCTTGCAATTCTGACAATATTTAACCCTTGTAATCAACCTATAATTGACAAGCTTGCGTTTCGTGTGCAAATTGTGCTGTCAAAATTTGTTTGGAATACAAAGGAAAACGAATAGTTAAAGACAGGCTTTTTATGACAAATTAAACATGATGCATCCTGCATAACAACTACAATACACAAAATGCAGTAATGAAAATTTGACCGAGGTCACCTATCTGCAAATTCCAGTTTTTGCACGTTCGTTTCATCTCCATAAAAAGGCCGACATTATCTCAAGTATTTCTATGAGAATCTAAGAAAAGGCTTTTTTTTTCTTTATCCACAAAGATATGACTTCAATTTTACAAACCATGAGTAAGTTAAAACTTACATAATAATAAACTGGAGACAAGAACCATATTAGTTTTAGTCACTAAAAGATAAAAGAGTCCAGGACATGTTAACTATGGTTTACAAAGGCCTTTACAACATATTAAGTGGCTCCTGGGTATATCACATCACTTCTCAAAGAGCACAGTCAAAGTGTATATAATTCAAGGGGTAAAAGGAAATTACAGATACCAGCGGTGAAGACCACAACTTTTGGACTTCACTCTTTCAGGTATCTTGCTGCCTCTGCATGGAATAGCTTATCAGATGAATTAAGAATGTCAGACACTCTAGCAGCTTTTAAACGTGCCATTAGGAGTTATATATCCAGTGGGGATTAGTATATAATTATTACCATTTTTATACGAGGTTTTATAAGGGTCTTTCGATTTTAAACCTATTGTCATTTGTTTGTAGTTATATGTTTGGAGATGCTAGCACGTCTAGTGCTATTCATAAATCCGAATGGAAATAAAGTTTATGTATGTATGTATGTATGTTTCAATTGCTGTCATGAACGCCTTTCTTACCTGGGTTCGCGGCGAGAATTGACCGCAATGGCGGCCATTTTAACTTTCTCTTTCTACATCTATTCCTAAACACGATCGATACGATTTTCCTGTAGAGTAGCCAAGAAAACGCTTCGAAAATCAGCCTTACTTTCGCACCTGCTGCATCCAAGGAGTTTGTTTACTGCTTCCTCATTTCACGGTTCATGTCGTTCCCAGTATTTCCTCAGAGATTTTCTATGACCCCCTCCCGTCCCCACTAGGGAAGATTTTTGATCGGAGGCGTGGCTAATACGTCAAGTTGATCATGTCACAACAGAAAGCCGCGAACAAAGAAACAACACAGAGAAAAAAAGTTAATGTGGGCGAAACAAAAAACGTTCACCGTTTCCCCGCACTTGGCACGTCGCAATGAGAAGTAGGAAACGTAATTATTTACGCCTTCAAACTTTGGCCGCGGATTAGAGGGGTTTTTAATTGAGAAATCCAAGGGACCAGTTGAGTTGTGCATACAAAACCCAAAGACGAAAGATGGCTTCAGGAGAAGGGAACAAAATTATGGTGTTTCGTCCAACTTTGGCCGAGTTTGCGAATTTCTCTGCATATATTCGTAAGATGGAAGAGATGGGAGCTCATCGAGCTGGTGTTGCTAAGGTTAGCGGTATAAAACCGGCCTGAAACTTTCTCTATTTAAAAGCCTTCGTTTGTTTACAAAGCGTCTAGTTTGAACACACGTGGTGAAAAATAACAAGGCTGCATCGAGTTAATAAACAGCTTGTGAAGGTATTTGCTCTCTTTTGAATTATATTCAGGTCATACCCCCCAAAGAATGGGTTCCTCGTAAAAGTTATGAAGATATCGACACTTTGATACCTGCTCCAATATTGCAAGTTGTAACAGGGACTCAAGGTAAGTTGAAATCTAAGGTGTACCAAAATGAATAGATAAACCTAACTGAGCTAAAATTTAAGCTTCGTACTCCATTTTTCGAGACAAGATGAGTTCCTCTTTCAAATTTAATACTCCGTTAAGAAGGAAGTGTCGGCTCGAGGTGAAAGTGAACTTTTAACTCGACAAAGACCAAAACCAGAAATGGTTTCGTGACAGTAAGCTTAGCTTATTTTCACATGCGTAAACTACTAGTCTTAATTATCTGCCACTTAAATAGTCAGTAAATTTCTAACATTTAAAACATGAAATTAACTTTGTACTCAGCCACATGTTAGGTAATGAATGAAAAGACAGAACTTAGCGACCTTTTCATTTTCGCAACAGCAGTTTTAAAAGCTGCGTTCAGTTTTGATTTTTCACTTGAAATGTTTTGATGCTAGGGTTCAATGAAGCAATTAATCCGAAAAGCGAAACAAAAACAACTCACTTGCGTTGAACAAGCGCTGCAAAAGGGTGTTTACATACTTTATGCCAAGGGCTATGATTGTTTTATTTTTCACAGTTAAACTTCAGCATCCATGTGTTTCAGTGAACTCGTGGTGTTTTAAAATGCAAACCACGTTTTCTTACTGACAACGAATTGGTTTTGTGCCTCATTTCCGCATCATCTGTAGTAGATTAGTTTCTATTGTTTATCGACAGAATCGTCAAAACCTCGAAAAAGTCATCGCGTAGAAATTGAAATTACAAAGTGAAATATTCCATCAAGTTGACCACATAATGGCTTATTTCAAGTTTAAAATTACCACCCGTCAGTAATTATTTCCGATTTACTTTAAAGTTTAGAGATGTGGAAACAAAGGTTATAGACCCACCTTTCCGCTTGTCAAGTGCCAATTTTAGCCATGAAGTTGCTGCTAAGTATTATCGATGGTAGAATGATTAGAAACTTGTAAAAGAGGCAATGAAAGATTTCACGTCCTAGTGTAGTGGAATTGAAAATTCTGCCATCGTAGTCAGTTGCCAAATTCAATCTTTGAGAGGGCTGGAATGCCCTAACAGAGTATCAAAGAGTGGGTTCTGATCTCATTTTACCCACAAATTTTGGTAAACTTCATGCATCTCATGAACTTTAACCAGTGTTTCTCATGTTTCAAATTTAAATGGGAGACCTTCAAATTCAATCTTTGGGTGGCTGGAATGTCCCTAACAGGATAGCAAAGATTGTGTTCTGATTCCATTTCACCCACAAATTTTGATAAAACTCTGGGTGTTTCATGTACTAGTGTTTCTCATGTTTCAAATTTAAATGGGAAACCTTTATTTCTCAATTTACTATGCCTTTCAGTACAATTATTTATGCATCACAGATTTATCTTGTGCATAATCATGTATCACATATAAACCCTTGGCTTCCTTCCTCTGACTTTTTACCTTATTTACTATGAAAACTGAGAAGGATTGGAAGTTAATAATCATAATAAAGGGGTGATGTCATAGGAAAAATTTCAATGTGGCCATTATTAAAACCTGCGCAAGTCAGAAGACCAAGTCTACTCATTAAAAAGTCCTCCATCCCTTCTATGATCAGAAAGAGACACGAAAACTAGATGTTTTCATGACGTCTCGAACATGGCATAAAAAAACAAATCTAACTCTTCATGAGAAGTCGATACTCGGGATTTGGATTTTGTGTGCGTATGCTCTACAACTGAGTCTAAGAGACTTTATAGGGAGTTAGTGCAAAAAAATTATGTAGGCATCAGTAATGTTTTTTTGAGCTGTTTTGTGTGTCTGAGTGCTTGGAATAAGGGAAGATTGTTAATTTTGGAATAAATAAATAAATAATCAGTTTATTTAACCCTTTGGTATTGTTAAACACTAAATTGCAAGGGAGGCAATAAAATTCACTCAATTGTACACAGAACACAATACACTTGGCATAAAAAGCAAAAAGAATTAAGCCCTATTGTAACTGTGAGTAAGGAACTTACTAAGGCGGTCTGTTCTGACGAAGTGGAATTGAGAACAGGAAAAACCAGACCTCAACCCGCACCCATAAGCAACATTTGTGGGCTGTGGCAGCAGGTGTGCTTATCAAGCTTAGAATTTATTTTGCAGTGGCCTCTCATTACAGTTGAGCAAAAATACAACATCAATGATTTTTCTCATATTCAGAAAAGTGGTCACTCTTTCCAGGATTGATTTAAGAGCTAGCAAGTAGTGAGCCTGACTGATTCACTTGTGCAATTTCACCATTTTAACCTCAGTCATCAGATTAAGATCAGACCAAGAATGCACAATAATTTGTCTGCCAACTTGACACTGAAACCGCCTACCAGAAAAGTTTTCACTACAACTTTCACCCAGTCAACATGAGTGACCTTTTATGACCTAAAGAAGCACACAGATTGTTATACATGTACCAGCCTTTAACTCAACATAAGGTAGTCATAATTGGCATTCTAGTTTTGGATCTGCTATATTCCACTTGGTATGATACTATGGTACTCATAGGGCTTGATGTATATTTAACTATATCAGAAACATTTGTAAGAAATATCACTAATTGTTATTAATTGTTAATTTGTTACTGATGTGACAACTGATTTTCAAAAGTTCCTTGGTTTAAACCCTCTTTAATTACATGAGCACTTAATATCATCAATTGGAACTTGATCTGTCGGGTGAAATTTCAACTCAAAAACTAGTGTCAAAAACTTGAAGTGTTCACTTTTTAAAGTAATTTTAAATCAAATTCTTATGCAAGTCTTCATATTAATTTTAAAATCTCCATATAACCACATTTTATAATCTTATTTTGCAATGTACAAAGGCTTAATACTATTTTAATTACTATTAATATTGTGGCAACTATTGCTATAAGATTTTTCTTTTTTTTTTTTTTTTTGAGGGCCATTAGGTTAGTTTTATTACTGTCAAATGTTACACTCATTAAATAAAGTCTTGCTACTTACTTACTTGTCTAAGGTTTACTGCTGGGTTTTATTTTGTTTTGTTTTTTTCTTTTTCATTTGGTCTTCAACCATGTGGAAGATTCTTTCATTTTCTTCTGTTTGGTGGACTTTCTTTAATCCATAACTTTATTCTCAAGACAACCAGTTGTGCTCAAGGACTGAAAATTATTACAGCATAAGAATTTACCATAAATAGTTTCAATCTACAACTGTGTTTTAACGTTTTTTTTTAATTTTTTTATTGGTTGCTGTTACCAGGGTTTCTGTCAGTCTCAAATATTCCTGGTTTCCTTTACATTAACCTAACCTTGTTTAGTGATATGATAATTATTCTGAACCATCTGAGCTGTATGTAACATGTCTTGCTTATTTTGAAGGACTTTTCCAGTTGTTCAATGTGCAGAAGAAGGCAATGTCTTTTAGTGAATTCAAGAAACTTGCCAACAGTGAAAGGTAAATTTTGGAACTTAATGGGGTTTTGTAGAATTGACTAAGTGATCTTTTTTGAATCAGTGGGTTACCTTGAATGGAATCTATATGGTTCCAACAGAGAGGGTGGCCATGAGGTACAGTACTCATATTGCTGTGAATTGAGTAGAAGGATTATCTAAGGGGTGGGGGCTAAGTGAAACTTAGGTGTCTTACATTTCCCCTAATAGATGAATGGGTGGAGTGCATGTAAACTGGCTGAAGCTGCTAAGTGCTTTTTCACTCTAGATAGTTACTTTTACATTTTAGATCTCACAGGACTACATTGTATCATTGTTTTCAGGCACAAACCTCCCACAGGAGATCAAGATGAGATTGAAAGAAAATACTGGAAAAACGTGACATTCAACAACCCAGTTTACGCAGCTGATATTCCTGGCACAGTGTACGACAAGGATGTGAAAGAATGGAACATAGGTAAGTTAGGAACAATTCTTGACTTGATCAAGGATCAATATGGAGTCCATATTGAGGGAGTAAACACCCCTTATTTGTACTTTGGGATGTGGAAAGCCACATTTGCATGGCATACTGAGGATATGGATCTCTACAGTATAAACTACTTGCATTTTGGAGCTCCAAAGACATGGTGAGAAGTCATTCAGCTGCTGAAATGTGTAGTAACAAATGGTAATAAAATCTTGTTGGGGAAAGAATTTTGTGCATAGTGAGTAATAGGCTCTTGTGGTGTTATTGTGGCCAGTGTAGCACTGGTTAATGAAAGACGGAATCTACCACACCGCAAGTACTGATAACATAATTCTTATTTTTCCCTCATTTTTCAGGTATGCAATTCCTCCCGAGCATGGCCAGCGCTTGGAGAGACTTGCAGCAGGTACAAGTGACATTTTCCTTTTTCTGATTCATCAATAGCTCAAATGAAGCAAACCTACTGCAACCTCTTGTTATTCGATGAATCTGCGAGGTGATGCGACGTGCGTGTGTGTAATATGATAGCTTTTTCCAAAAAAATCGTCTATGTGCGCATGACTACCCTGCGTCCGAGCGTACAAAATTCGTCTGTGTAGTCAACGTTTATCTGAGCGGTATTGTAAGTAAACGTGTTTGGGTTTCGCCTTACTACGCCCCTTTACCAGGCACAGCCGCCTATCGCTTCATCGTCAGAAAAAGTTTCTGAAATCCCCCGATAGTAACTCCTTATAGTAGAACATAGAACATAGAACCTTTACCGTATGTTGCAACGGTAACAACAAATATAGACCGTAACCAGCCTCAACCTTCAATCTTACACTTTCCACTTTTTTTTGTACAGGTTTCTTTCCCGGAAGCTTTCAAAGCTGTTCTCAGTTTCTTAGGCACAAGATGACTATTATATCACCCCAAGTGCTCAGAAAGTTTTCAATTCCCTATGACAAGGTATGTTAACAATTACATATCCATCCATTGAGCGCCTGGGTCCTTGTCTGCAAAAGGGAAGTCGGAAAGTAATTTCAAGGCATTTCCTTCATAATAATATACATGCACAAATTTCAGCTTGCTCATAGGCCGAGAACACGTTATTTGATCCCAAACAATGCAGAAAGTTGAGATTGAGTGAAAACATTTGAAATGAAATTGATTCACAAGAATGTGGCGATAGCTCAAGCAAGAAATTGGCGGACAGGTTAAGAGAAAGTAACCACGTTTTACTTTTATTAGTGTTTGAGGGGAATGCTTAGAAAAAGCACCGAAGAAAGCACAAACAGCGTGCTTAAAATCTGGAAGTATTGGGCTTCCAAAAATGGCTCGGACGAAAGTGTTACAAAGTACGGACCGGAGGTCCTGAACAAAATTTATGACGAGTTTTACGCAGTTGTTGTATTGAGCAATACCTAACAGAGAACTTTAAAGCTCGAACAGTCCTTGACTACTCCAGCAACAAGGTGAAAGCAAGGGGCCGAACCAGAAAGCCATGAGTCGAATTTTTGCATGTATATTATTAACAAGTAATCACATGACTTATCTCGTGCAATTTAGGATAAATCAGCGATTTGTTTAGCCTCTGAAAAATTTACTCCTACTTATTTATCCCAAATTGCACTAGAAATCGTAGGGGTACTTACAACTATATTTAGATATACCTATTTTTCAGTGAAATCTCAAATGTCTTGTTCTCTTTCAGATAACGCAAGAAGCCGGTGAATTTATGATCACTTTTCCTTATGGTTATCACTGTGGTTTTAACAATGGTTTTAACTGTGCTGAATCGACGAATTTTGCTTCTGAAAGATGGATTGATTTTGGAAAGAAAGCACAAGTTGTGAGTTGTAAACTTTTCGCAATATTCCCATGTTTTAAATTGCTTTTCGTTGTACTATTAGGAGGTGGTAATACTAGTGTAAGTGGGTTGGGTTTCAATTTTGTCTGTTTGTAGGGTATAGGGAAAGTCTAGACGCATAACTGCGTGAACTCGGGTTTCTTTGCTTAGGAATGTTTACAAAGGCATGTAATCTGAAGAAGAGTTGTTTGATTTAATTTCTGCTTGTTATCCGAAAGCGCTCGACATCTTTTAGTGTCAGGGTTCTACGCGTCTTGAAAACCCTTGAAAACCCTTGAATTTCAGGAGGCCGATTTCAAGGCCTTGAAAGTACTTGAATTTCGTTTTGGGTCCTTGAAAGTCCTTGATTTTTTATTGAACAACATCGAAAAATATCTGCTTTTGTTTTGCACCATCGGTAAACCCAAAACATAGATATTAACAGAAACATTTTTCTTGGTTTTGAGGTAAAATTGTCATTACAAAAAGTCCTTGAAATTTCTAAGTAGGGTCCTGGAAAGTCCTTGAAAAGTCCTTGAATCTTTGGCCTGAAAAAGTGTAC